GAACAAATGTGATACTGAAATATGATATAAACATCAAATAAAAAACTTCAATTGAAAAAAAGAACAAAAAAACTAGAATCTGAAGGAGTTTTGAAATGTTTTCAGTTCCAATTTTTTTTTTCCAGTTTCAAATAATTTATTTCAGTTTCCAAAAAAAATGTACTTTTGAAAAAACTTTATGACTCCATTTTAGCTCCATACGGTCAGCAAACAAGTTAGAAGGATTAGGATTAGGAATTTATCGGACCACTGAAGTTTAGGGCTCCCATCTTGGGGTCCCATTATGGAGCAAGTAGCATTCTGGGTAAAGAAGGACAAAAACAACCCTGTGTTTTGACTACTGTGATGCAGAATTAGAAGTGATATTTTGAACCAATCAGAAGCCTCCTTGTTGTTTACATTCTTAAAGTGAAGTTAAAGTGAGACGTTTATTCTGAAGGATTAAAAGTCAGAATAAATTTTAAAAAATGTTCTGATGTTTCTGTAGAGGTGATGACATCTGTTAAACTGAGCTGCATCCCACTTTCAACCTGCAGGATGATAAATATGCATGAAGACTTTTCCTTTCATATATTCATGAATGTTTATGAATATAGTTGTTTGTGAAGTTTTTCTATCAGCTGTAAGCTCACCTGTGTGTTCAGGTCAGGCTACAGTAAAAACTGGAAGTTAAGTTTGTTTTTTCTATATATTTTTTCTTTGCTGTATAATACATCTGTCTGTGTCAATAATGCAGTTTTTGTGAAGGTTCTTCTGAAATACAGTTTGTTCTCAAGTCTGCAATGTGTTTTTGTTTATTTAAATCCCCACTGATTTTTAAGAATATAAACGAAGCACTCAAAGAGTGCAGACCTCCACCAAGGCCAATTTCCCCCATCCTGCAGTTAATGTGCATAAGGAGAGATGGAAACACATTTACAGAATAAGTTCTGACGTAGAGAACATTTAAGCAGGCAGTATGATGGGATTTCTTCCCAGTGGAGTCCAATGCGAAAAAACAAGTCAGAGACTGGTCACCCAACGTTATTCATCCACAAACTGGTCCTGGATTAAGCTTCGAAGTGTTCATC